CGGGATATTGTCAACGCAGTATTGCTATGCCGCTGAAATAACCAGAGGGAAAAAATGTAGAAATAGGGAGGGATTATAGTCTCCATGGCTGCTCAGTGACAAAATGTAAACTTTTCAACCCACAAATGGCTGTTCTGTTGAAATAAACGGGGAGAACTAGGGAAGTGACAATATATGAATTAATCAATCCATATATGTCTGTGCTCTAAATTTTAAATGGGGAGGGATTATAGTCTTATTATTATTACAGTTGCTGACAAAACTACAAAATTTAAACCCATGTATAACTGAGAAATTTAAAATGGTGAAGGATTAGCATCTCTAGATGACTATAATGACAAAACTTCAATTTCCAATGCATATATATATATATATATATATATATATATATATATATATATATATGGCTGTGCCACTGAAATAGCTACAAGAAATATGAAATGGGGAGGGATTATAGTCTTATTATTACTACAGTTGCTGACAAAACTTCAATTTTAAACCCACGTATAACTGAGAAATTTCAAATGGTGAAGGATTAGCATCTCTAGATGACTATGGTGACAAAACTTCAATTTCCAATGCATATATATGGCTGTGCCACTGAAATAACTGCAAGAAATATGAAATGGGGAGGGATTATAGTCTTATCATTACTACAGTTGCTGACAAAACTTCATTTTTAAACCCATGAATAACTGAGAAACTTCAAATGGTGAAGGATTAGCATCTCTAGATGACTACAGTGACAAAATTGAAATTTTCAACTCATATTTGGCCATTGAAAGATCTGGAGAAATTGTAATGGGAGGTATTTTAATCTAGCTGGTGAAACATAAAGTAATGTATAAAGGCAACAAATATATAATACAGGTATCTCGATCACCTGCAGACAAATAATTGAATCAAGAGTCTTTCAACTTTACTCATGGATGTGGAACTTGCACCTGAGGGGATTTCTTGAAAGTGTTTACAATCATGCTGATGTAACTTTTCAGTAATTTTACTAAAACCAGGGGTGTTTCACAAAGACTCTAAGTAGAACTTCACTCTAAGTTGGACTTAAACATTATGGAGAGCCATTTGTAGCCTTAAAATGAAATATATTCAAAAGCAGAATTTCAAGTATTTTAGACTTTTCATAAATTCCACATCAAGAACATGGAATTTCCTTGATAATAGAAAATATGAATGATTTGAATCAATATTTTATGCATTTTAAAATATCTTTTAATAAAATATTTTCAAAGATGCTAGCGGCTTTCCATAATTGTTAAGTCCAACTTAGAGATAAGTTCAACTTAGGATCTTTGTGAAACACCCCCAAGAGTGCTTGGAGTTTCAAAAACATGTCCCCAGTGACTATCAGCACCTGGGATTTGTTCACTAATAATCTGATTTGAAACCTGTTGATACACTTCATAGAGCCAGTTTGTCCGAGAGAGCTGATCTTGGCTCCTCTTTTCTTCCTTTTTCTGCTCTTCATAATGAGCCGTATCTGTTACTGCTGGAGGCAACGGGCTCAGGTACTCTGTCATTAAAGAACCCCAAACGTGACTTTCTCTGCAAGATTTGGAGTCTAATTTGGGCGAGTTCTGTCTTCAGCTTCTGCATGGTGACCTGAAGATAGCTGAAAATGTGCCTTTTGGTGCATTTATTTTGCTTTGGATTGAGTTAAAGGGATCCGGTAACTTTGTCTCAGATTCTGAAACAAAATTCTGGATTTAGCTCATACTGCAATGATAATTATACACCTTTAGGACAGTCAGGAACCCCATGAATTTTACAAGCCGATCGCCTGTCTGATTATCAAGATATTTATGATTGGAATTACAAATTTTGAAAACCGTTTGCCAAACGGTTTTCATAACATTACAGTCTATTGGGGAAAACGAGTATGGTAAAACTGGTCACTCAAAGATTTTTACTTTTTTGAGGCACTTCTTGATCATTTTGAAGCGCAATTTTTTTAGGACTTCAATATTACACCATATCACAGACACTGATAACATGTAGGGCCATGCAGTACCTCAGATTTAACATTGTTAAACGATCCCTTTACCTTTAACACCCGCTGTACAAAGTACACTGAATTAAATAATATGGCCATTCTAGGGCAGCAAGGGCCCCTAACACCCCCCCCCCCCCCCCCAAAAAAAAAAAAAAAAAAAAAAAAAAAATTAAAAATTAAAAAAAAACTATCATGTTTTTGTTTAACATTCCACTAGCTAAAATCTATTACTGTCAAAAACAAACTTCTCATATCACTTTCACATACTTGTAGGCATACTAGGCCTACCATAAACATAACAGTGGTTTCAAAAGTGATAATTACGAAACCATCTTCAAAACAAAGTCAACTAAAGATTTCTTATTATGACTGGATAGTAGATACCATGAATTATGAAATACTGCTTTTTGACAAGCTTGCTTAATTGTTAGAATGTAAAGGTCAGACAAAATAAAATTGACAAAAGTTCATTATTAACTACAATCTCTCTTGGCCAACTATCATTCCATACATATTCATTTCAAGGTGGGATCATCATGAATACAAATAATCTCAGTAGTACAACCATATATCATAAGAATTCAGGTTTTTATATTTCATTGTTCAAACACCACTGCCACAAATAACACTCAATATATTGACAAGGTACAAAAATATGACTGCCAAACCAACAAATCCCCACTCGGACTTGAATTTTTTTTTGTATAACTGTACAAAAAAATATGGAGTTATACTAAATGATTTGTTGTTTAACAAAATGTTGCAATGCAAAATGGAGGTTTGAGCACTGTTGTTTGAAAGAAGACTTTAACACCTTGGGAATTATCATCGGTGTGATCATTATATCCAACAAAAACCATACAAATGGTTGGGGCTTACCGAGAGCGCATACCGACATGACCAGCGCTATTTATTACTTTGTGTACTTGAGCAATGCCCAATATGAACTGACACAAAACATTTGCTGATCTCCCTCAATAGTAACTTTTTTAATCTTAATTTGATGTTCCTAAATTTACACAGCATTCTTATTCCAGTTGTATACCAATCTAAGGTGATTCTTTAAACATTTCATTGCATCATACTGTATAAAATTTCTCCTGTGTGAATGCCCCGAAATACACAGGAGAGCAAAGAACAAACCAAGTTCGAGCAGATCCATCACGTCTACAGATTTCTGACAGGGAGCAAAGCGTGATTCATAATTTCATCAATCAAACGTGGTCAACAGGGAGCTGTCTCTCTCTCTCTCTCTCTCTCTCTCTATCTCGATGGCCATGAAATCCCTCTAGAATGGGGTCAAAGCTGACATTTGTTTCACCAAGTCCAACAGCTTAATCTACCAGAAGGAACTTCAGCAGTGGTTATAGTAGCCCATTCACACTGGACGAAAAATATTTTTTTTAAACTCATGAATGTTTCATAAAGTATCATATGAAAATAATATAAATTTGGAGAGCCAGAGCTGTCAAGTTTGATGGACATGAGTGCTTTACCAGAACACACTATTATTATTATAATCGTAGGGTAAAAAAAGGTGATTTGAAAACAGTATTGTATGAAGAAAGTAAGAAACATTGTATAAGTCAACTAGTTTTGAATATGTTTACTGACATAGCAACTGACCAATCATCAGCATGCACACACTCTAAGCCCTACCCAGTTATACGATTTATGTACAATAGAACGTTCACATCAGAAACGGACCGGATTCTTATTGAGTTTTTGTTCAAACTACACTGGTGCTCACAGCTCTGTTTCATCATAGGTTTCATAATCCAACTTTAGACATAAATATATGTACTTATCTTCTTATAGCAATACAATGAATTTTCATGTCTGAACAGAGATAAAACTTCCAGAAAGAACTTCAAGGGGGTGTTTCACAAAGACTAAGATCCACTACTGGACTTAACTATGGCAGGCCATTTATGCCACTGGTTACTCTCATCATTGGTCTCTCAATTATGATCTTTAGATAATATTTTTTCCTTCAATAATGAAATATAAAAAAAGGTAAATTCTGTAGATTTGTGACCAATATTTGTATGTCCCTTGAGAGACCAATGCCAGGAAATGGTGAGAGCAAACAGTGGCATGAACAGCCCGCCATAGTCAAGTCCAACTCAAAGTCGATCTTAGTCTTTGTGAAACACTCCCCTGAAGTATAAAGACCTATATATCCTTGAGGAACCTGGCAAGTTTAATCCAATCTTGTATTGCAAGGAGATGGCTTAATCATCATGGAGACTGATTAAGAAAAGTTTCGAGAGTTTACACCGCATCGTTGAAATCCATCTACATTGCATATGACCGTGATTTAGTTCGAGTTGAAAGCTACCAGTATTCCCAAAACGGAGGAGAGTATAGTTCCTTTATTCCCCATTGGCAGAGTCTGTGGGTATAATTCCAATTACTTGTGGTTTTCAAATTGTTAGCTTTACAAGCCTGTGCCTATTATTTGTGTGGTGAGCTTCAATCAATCATATCTTTTCTAGAAATTACACCCTAGATTTGTTTAAGAAAGAGGAACTTTTTCTTCAAAATCTGTATATTTCTTTTCTTACTTTGTATGACTCTTTTTTTTCATTCTGCAAATAAAACAAGTCTACTTTGTAGATGAATATCAACTTCTGAGGGATGTTCCTCTATGAATTACCCTTTCATTTCTGTTAAATTAAGGCTTAAATGATCGAAAGCAATCTTGACTGCTGGTATAAGACAATGAGGTTTTTGACAGTATAAATAAGCCTATGTAATTTTATACTTTAGACTATACACTGCAAAATTAGGTTTTTGATATTATAAATGAGCCTAATATTTATTTATTCAAAATGTTGTACTGAGAAAAAAAACAGATCCTTAGAATTTAATTTTCAAATGAGAACATTGCCCTGAGAATTTTCTGAGAAATTCCATGCAGAGAATCCCCCAGACAATTTTCGGAAGCAATTTAGTAAATGAAGTTATAGAAAGGCCTATATATACTTACTTGGTTTTGAGCTTGTTTTGAAGAAGTGGCTGTCAGAGACTGTTGCATACTTGAGAAAGAAGCATTGCTCTTACTCACTTGTTCCTTAGAGGACTTGCTTTTCATCTGTTTCAAAGATACAATAATACAAGACAAAATATAATCACAAACTTGTCATATAGTTTATTATTTAAATCATTTATAGTCAGAAGGACTACGGTAAGCATTTACGCTGAAGACTAGTGAGAAACCATGAGCTGTTATCTGGGCAAGCGATGTGATACATTCTGTAATGTTGCACCGTAAGTCTCATTTGTTCCTAAAATACTTTTTGGAAATTTTTTGTCCTTTTAAATTCAAATTACAAATGGGTTAATGTATTGTGAAGGTCATTGAATACCACAGAACACTGTTTTTTTTAAATTAAAGTAAAAAATTAAAAAATGAAAGGTTATACCAGGAGGAGAGACCATGGGGCCACAATTAATAAAATAATAATCATAAAAACGGTGCTTAAAAAGTGCTTATATTATACCACCAACTTAAGTCTCTAAGCACTATGTTTTTCTCGTCCCAGGCACAGGTGATGCCAAATAATTGATATATATATATATATATATATATATATATATATATATATATATATATTTCATAAGTATAAATGAACTTGTCATCTGATTTCAGGCATGGTAGGGATTAAACATTTATCCATATTCTTTTAAAAATTACATGACTGAATATGGGCTATTCAGCCGCTTACTTCCCCCTTGATATTTGTACTCATTTTCAATGGAACAGAAAAAAATATAATACAACTAACTAATACTACTACATTCACAGAGCAGGTATTATTCATAAAAGTCATTTCTTCAATATTCTCATTATAAATACAATGAAAAGGTAGATCCCCAATTAAAATATTGGCTTTGATCCATGTATCAAGTCAAAAGCGGAGCATGACGTAAACCACCACTAGAAAATAAATGCGGCACTGCTCACCACACTAATCTTTATTCAAGCTTATAGAAAGGGGTTTGGAGTGTACGGGAGGGGGAGGGGTGAGGGGGGGGGGGTAACCCAACTCCAAATCTCAACTAAATACATGTGAGCCGGTAAGTAGATACATCTACTTTACTCCGGTCTACCGGTATCAGGTATATTCGCTTCCTCCCGAATCCCCTCCATCACCCGGCAGCCAATCTCGGTAAGCCCTGGGCCAGCCGCAACCTTTCTACCGATGAGTGAATGGATATTCTTACTTAGTTTGCTTGGAGGAAGGGCTTCGGGGGGAGCGGGCTAAGGTGTTTGCTTATCTTTGCCTTAAGAATGTTTTAGCCCTTAATCAGACATTGATTAATATCTACCGGGCATGTAAGATCATTTCCCTGTGATACTGGTTCTTTTGCTAATACATTCATCTGTAACTTTTGCACTGCCTCAATTTTCTATTTATGTTTCAAGTCTTCTTTTTTTTAATAAATATCTTTAAAGGGCAATTCAATCCTTTCAATAAGTTTGTTTGTATGAAAGCAGAAAAATACAATAAACAGAATGGTAAAATTTCAAACCAAAACGGACCACTAATAAGAAAGTTATGAATGCTATATGAGATCACTAAGTCTATGGGAATCTGTATTTGTCAGTTTGGGCAGTGGATTCTGACGTAGTTGCGGATAACTCCCCTGTTTGTTGTGTACTATAATTATGATTAATTTTTGTTTTTCTCCTTATCGCCTTCTCCCTCGGGAACTATTCAATATACATTATGGATAGCATGTTATTACAGGTCCTCTACAGTGAAAAGACCCTCCTGAGTCATAACTTTTTGAAAAATTGAAATTTTAGTGATTTTGTGTGTTGTTGCAGACGGGAAATAATACCACTACTACATCACAGAGACATTACTGATTCAGCCAACTTGAAGAGCCTATACCTAAAGTGATAACAACTTCAAAAAATTCTATCTCTCTCTCCCCCCCTCCCACGCCCCCATCCTCTCTCTCCCCCCTCCCTCCCACCCCCTCTTTCTCTCTCTCTCTTGGAACTCCAGCAATATTATATACCCTGTCAAAAACAAATTGGGAAAGGGGGACTCCGTTTCCCCATCTCCTTCAATAGTACATGTGTATACCCAGAGCAGCTTCTTTCTTTTCAATTTTTCTTTTATTTCTTTCTTATTTTGTTGTTGATACTTTTATTCATTCTTTCTTTCTTTTGGGGCTCTTCATTTATCTCTATGACCTTTATTTTCTACTGTACGTTACATCTCTCTCTCTTTCTCTTTCTCTGATCCTTTTCCTTACCTTTAAAGACATCGTTTAACAATGTTAAATCTGAGATGCAGGGCCCTACGTGTTATCAGTGTCTGTGATATGGTGTAATATTGAAGCCCTAAAAAAATTGCACTTCAAAATGATCAAGAAGTGCCTCAAAAAAGTAAAAAAATCTTTGAGTGACCGGTTTTACCATACTTGTTTTCCCCATAGACTGTAGTGTTATGAAAACCGTCAGGCAAACGGTTTTCAAAATTTGTAATTCCAATCATAAATATCTTGCTAATCAGACAGGCGATCGGCTTGTAAAAATCATGGGGTTCCTGACTGACCTAAAGGTTTGTAATTATGATTGCAGCATGAGCTAAATCCAGAATTTTGTTTCAGAATCTGAGACAAAGTTACCGGATCTCTTTAAATATATGACTGTCGTGTATATAGATCACTGCCCTGACATATCCTATAGTCACCCCCTCCAAGCCCCTTCAAAGTGTCATCTACTTTCTAAAAACAGTCACTGTTCGCCATACAAACTTGGAACGATAACAAAATGTCTAGACCCTTGAATAATGTATTACAATGATATTATTTGCTTCACTTGATCATGGGTAACATACTAATAAACATTAAACAAGAAATAAAACAACTAATCCAACATGAAAAAACAACTAAAATCACACACATGAATGACATTTCTCAAAAACAACTTTGAAGCCAATTACAACTTGAAGCCAGCTACTTGGGCTACAAACTACCTGTCATTGGTCAATTAAATGAAAGTAATATTTCTATGTAAAGAAAAGAGTGTTTTAAACTTTTTCAACATGTTTATACACTATCAAAACAAAAAGGAAAACATTGACAAAAATGAAGAACAAAACGAGCATTACTTCAAATCTTTCAGAAGAGAATTTATTATCTAGAATTATTTTAATCATAATTTTCTTGATGTTAAATATTACCCACAGTGCTCCAAGAGACCTTAGGGCTGTCTTCATCAGCTTGAGTTTGCCAAATAACCAGCTATCTTCAGAATCGGGATATTATCCCGAAGCTCGAAATTGCGTCTTCACCAGACCGATACGCCCATCATAAACTAGCTCGGACGGGCGCAAATTAGCCCGCTATTTCCCGAACAGCGGGATATTTTTTAACAAGACCAAGATTTCTCTGGATATTTTCTTGACCAAATATCCCGCTAATTGCAACTGCGGGCTGATGAAGACGTAAATTAACTGGCTAATTTGCGATCGGGATAGTTAAAATAGCGGGTTATTTGGCAAAGTCTAGCTGATGAAAACAGGCCTCTTGTTCTTCAAATTACAGAGTTATTATAAGTAGAGTGATTCAAGTGCTTCACCTTGAAGGGGTTACTCTCCCAGGTACAACTGCTCACACACCTGTCATAATGGTAGCTTGAGTTATAGTCTGGGTTCAAGACAGGACGCGCTGCTTTTCTTTGCATCAAAAGAAAATGAGTTTCAATCGAACACAAAATTAAGTCCAATTTAATTGAAATTGAATTCAATCAAACTATCTCCAAGAAGCGAAGAAAATACTGCAATTAAGAGACTACATCTAGCCAACATTCAAATCATCTTAGTCTGAAGTAAAATAGAAATAATGTTCATTCTGTCTGGAACGTAAACTTTGTCACATAGACCAGGGTTTAACGCACTATACTCACTTGATACCTTTCTGCTACAGGTGTAAATCTAATACATTAACCCCCTATGATGCCATTACTTCTTAATTGATTATATAAAGGCTGTGGCTTTTTCCTTTGATGACTATAATGGGCTCTTCAATTATGGAGAGAAGAGGTGTAGTTTTAAAAAGTTCACTCGATCATAGTTAATGTATAGTTATCATTTCGGAATTTGAGAAACTAATCAAATCCTAATTTATATCTTTGAAACCAACAATAAATGCAATATTTATTAACAATGATAAAGACTATTTCAAATATGTTTGATGGGTTTTTCAATAAAACCTTCTAGTACCCATGTTAGCTTGTTTAGACACACCAAATGCTTTAATTGATATTGTCATCATCAATGCATTTGCATGTGCATTGACCCCTTTTAGTTTTTTAACCATACCACATGCTTCAAATGTCTTTTTCAGCTCATTTTTCTTTTAATGTTAACATATAGCCATCTTTAATATGCAAAACTAAATACTTTCCCCGCATATATTGATTAAATGCTTTAAAGGGTTATTGGTGATATGCAAAGGGCCCTTTAAACTTCAAAGCCAACAAATTATTATTTGATCCTTTAAGAATAAGATCAAGCCATCCAAACTGTCCTTGGGATCCCTTAAAGGCTTGAGTCATATTAGTGGATTATTGTTTACAAACAGGTGCTTTTAGGTTAAGTTAGGATAAGGTCATCTGCTTGGACAATGATCACCTGTCAATTAAAAGCAGAGGGCATCAAATCAGGGGAAGGAATTACAATGTATGAATAAAAAATCATGCAATGCTTCAGAATATAAGAACAATAGAATTATTAGCAAGTTATTTTAAAATTTCAAAATCCCAAGACTGCTACAGTAATTTATCTTTATGTTACTAAAGAAAAGAACATCCTTTTAATCCCACATCCTTGGATTTGTCAAAAATCTGTTTACATTGACATTTTCAAGAAGCATATAGATTCTAAATATGAAGAGCTGGGATATATCTGCATCACATTTATACAAAACAGTTTGTACTGAGTTACATATAAAGAATAAAATCATGCTACTGAATGATATATAATAATAAATAAATATGAAAGATACTAAATATGAACATTTGGCACAGATCACCTAAATCAAATTCATTATAGCATTTTGTACTGAG